TGAATACATTCTCATACTCTTGAAGCTCAGACTATTCTAAGTCATAAACATAACTATCTTATTGTATTCCTTCCACAATAAGCTCTTGTTATACATTGTTCCTCTGCTCTAGGAAGCTAAACCCTTCCGAAGTGGCTTACATTAGTGAAGCTAGTCGGTATCAGGAAAGTATTCCTAACAACTGTCTTCCCCTAAAGCGGTTCCATCTAGTATATAAAGATTAGAAGCCTACCTATAAAGCTATACCTAATGGCTATAGGCTATTAGATAAGCTATATATACTTATATCTTCACAGTCCTATCAGACCGCAACCCTAAAGCCGCCGGCTCCCAGTAGTGGTCCTCTGAATAGACCTTTCAGCACTAAGCTTTGAGGGCCAGGTGAGCGAGGACCTGGCGGGCGATATACTGGTTTGCGCTGTGAAAGAGAGCAGCTACCCTTTACAATCTTCGCGCGGCACTGAGCACACGCGTGTTAGGAATACTTTCCCAATACCGACTGGCTTCACCAATGTAAGCCACTTCGGAAGGGATTAGCTTCCTAGAGCAAGGGAACAATGTATAACTAGAGCTTATTAAGGAAGGAATATAATAAGATAGTTATGTTTGTGACTTAGAGTGGTATAAGCTTCTGAAGTATGAGAATGTATTCAAACTAACTACTAGCTACGCTAGACAGTTGAATTACAAAGAGACACAACACCAGTAGAGACAGGACGTTTATATAGACCTTATTCTTGATATCCTTATTGCCTTACTCCAAGCGATCATTTTGATCATTATTGAGCGAAATGATCGCTTCTGCCAATCAGCGTTCCCTTGGTCGTTAGTCATTGGTCGGCGCGCTCATTTTGCTCAATACTGAGCGAAATGATCGCTCCTACCAATCAGCGTTCTCCTGAATCTACTCACGTGTTACTTCGTAACACCATTCCCCTCCTTAGTAAGCTTGTCCCAAGCTTTGTACTTAAGGGGTTTAGTGGCCGCCGAAGGAAAAATAAAGATGTCTTCAGTTTCTTCTTTCCGTCGCAAACGTCTTGCTTCCGAGATCGAGGAGTCCGGGAGCGTCACTATCCTTGGCTGTGAACACTGCCTAATTCGCGGACTGACCTGTGTCGCCATGTCTTCGTCGAAAAGTGTCAAATGTGCAAACTGCGCACGTAAAGGAATAAAATGCGTCGACGTGTCATGGGAGGTTCTGGATAAAACCAGAGAGGAAGCCAAGTCTGCCATAGAGGAAAATCTCGAGGAATTGTCCAAACTAAACGCTATGCAACAAAAACTTCTTGCTCAACTTTCTCGAAATCGGAAAATTCTGAAGATAGCCGAAAGTCGTGCGAAAGCAAAAGCGATTTGTTTAATGGATGAGCTGGAAGAGGAAGAAGAAGCTGAACGAGTGAGAAATGGTGGTCACTCTGATGGTGAGCTTCGTGAGCTTGCAGATAATCTCGCCGTCTTTAACCAGACCATCGAAACCCGAGAGGTTTCGAATGCATCGGATTCTCATGATGGAATCGCGATAATTCAAGCGGACAGTTGAGGTTCTTGTACGGTTCCCAAGTGTTTTCTTCCAGTGGGTATCCTTTCCATTTTATGAGATAAAAGTGTTGTCGTCTTCTGACCTGGTGGTCTAGGATCTTCTCAACCTCGTATTCCTGCTCGGTAGGGTCTTCTAATTCGGTTTCTTTGTCAAGAGGTGTTTCCGGATCCGCTTTTTCTAATAACGAAACATGAAAGATAGGGTGTATCCTCATGCTCTTGGGTAGTTGCAGTTCATAATTTACTGGTCCTATGATCCTTTTGACTTTAAATGGTCCGATTTTGAGAAAATCAAGTTTACTATTTTGGCGCTTGGTGCGAATGTTTCGTCGCCAAAGGTAAACTTTATCCCCCTCCTTAAGGTCTGGTCCCTCAGACCTTTTTTGATTTACCTGGAGGATCATTTTTTTGTTCAGGAACATAATATCAGATTGTAGTTGAGTATAAAGCGATTGCAATTCTTCTGCAAACAGCGTTGCTTCCGTAGGCAAGTATGCCGACGTATCAACCATTAATCTTGGTTCCTTTCCAAAATTCGCGTAGTAAGGTGACATTCCTATGGTACTCTACTTGGTCGCATTATATGCTAGCGCTGCCTATGGTAAAAGCTATACCCAATTATTTTATTCGTCGTTGACATATATCCGCAAGTATTGTTCCAATATTTGGTTTACTCGCTCCATCTGGCCGTCGCTCTGTGGATGATATGCTATTGACATTCCTTGTGTTATTTGTAGCACTTGGCATAATTCTCTCCAGAAATGAGATGTGAATATCTTATCCCGGTCAGAGATAATCTTTTCGGGTATGCCAAATTTCCCTACTTCTCTCAAGAAGACTTTCGCTAAGTAAGAAGCCGTAAATTGTCGAGGAATCGGGACAAATATCACGTATTTTGTCAACCGATCAACAGCAACCATAATGTTTTCATGTTCCACATTATTCTCATCCTTAGAAGGTGGTAAGGGTCCGATGAAGTCTATTGATACTTCTTGCCAAGACTTTTCTGGTGCTCGGTTTGGTTGAAGCAACCCATAAGGTTTGTGTCGTTCATACTTGGCTTTCTTGCATAAATGGCAAGCTCTAACCCAAGTAAAGACCTTTTGTCGCATCCTAGGAAAGTAATAGTTTCGTCGTAACCTTTCCAAGACTTCTTCTGCTTTTGCGTGTCCTTACAGAGGTGGCTCATGATACCTAAATATCCATTCTTTCTCAAGATTCGGAGGTAATATGATTTTCCCTTCATACATATAGACCTGTAGGTTATCGTTGTAGTCCATATGCTGTTTAATGAAGTCGCTTTTCGATTGTTCAGTTCGAATCCTCTGAATCTCAGGTATGTTGATTTTGATCAGAGACGCCACTTGGTGTATCATCAAGTCTCCTTCTTGCCGCAAAAGAGCATGTTTGACCTCCATTCCCTTGTCATAATCAGTTCTTCGGCTTAATGCGTCTGCGTTGGCATTAAGTTTTCCACTCCAGTGTTTGATCTCGAAGTTAAATGACAATAATTCATATGACCATCTTAACTGTCGTCCATTCAATACTTTGGTAGTGGTGAAGTTTCGGAGATTCTGGTGATCTGACAAGACTAAGAATGTATCTTTTCTGCCTTCCAGGTAATGTCGCCAGTGTTTGAGTGCATCAACAATTGCTAGCAGCTCTTGATCGGATATAGAGTATCTGGTCTCTACATCTGTAAACTTTCTTAAGTGATAGGCTACCGGTCGCCATAGCCCATCTTCGTCCTGTTGACTTAGGACCGCTCCAAGAGCATATTTGGAAGCATCTGTCTCAACTCTTATTGGCTTTTTCTCATCGAACAATTGTAGTACCGGCGTAGTCGTGACCAATTTCTTAAGCTCGTCAAAGGCCTTTTGAGCGTCCTCGGTCCACTGAAACTCCTAGGAAGTGACGCCAGCGTTTTCCCTCTTCTTAGTGAGTTCAGTAAGTGGTACTGTAATCCTTGAGTATCCAGGGATAAACTATTGATAATAGTTCGTAAATCCTAAAAATGCTTAAACTTGCTTAACCATTCGCGGTTCAGGCCATTCCTTAACTCTTTCGACCTTTTCTGGATTTACTTCTAATCCCTTTTCTGATATAATCAGTCCAATAAACTCGATTCTTTGTTTATGGAACTCGCATTTGGATGGTTTAAGCCGTAAATTATGTTTCTTTAGCGCTTTCAAGACCTTTCGGACGTGTTCGACGTGTTCTTCAAGCGTCCGGGAGTATACTAATAT